TAGATCATAAGTTTTTTTTTAATTTTTAATAATGGATACTGTGATGATTTTTGCAAAATTTTTTCATTCGTTTCACAGCTCCTCGAGTTGTTTCTTGTTAGATTATTTTTTTAGTCATCGCATTTTTGACTAAAATATCGAATTTATAATTGTAATTTTCTTCAAACAGCATAAGCAATTCTATCTTGTTTCATTTTACAATTTTGAGCGTAATGATTAATAATGGAATCTTCACAGACAAAGAATCATCATTTCTATCCATATCTTGAATTTCAATATTGTTTGAGATGATTTCATTCAAATACCCAAGAGACAATACAAAAGATCATGACCTTATCTAGTACTGAATCAGGTTCCGTATCAAAACTCGGATTACTGTTTCAATCAACTGATTGATCTATAGCATTTTCTGAGAACCAAAGTAGTTCATCAGTTCTTCTTGTTAGGAACTTGCTTAAATACTTTCTAGTATTCTTTCTAAGCTTTGGGCATTTTCCTTTTAAATAACAGAAGCACCTTTTGATACCTTTTGAGAGGCTTTGCTCACTTTAATGTAAGAGATCGAAGCCTCAGAAAAAGTACCATAAAGTAATTATCTACTTGAACCAGTATGTAGAAAATACAACTGGTGAACTACTTTACATTTTGCGAATTAGAACTGATCGACCAATACTTAAGATTGAAACTGATATGAAATTGCTACAATTATAATCTTGCCAATCTCAAAGATCTATTTCACTGTGTTTTTAAAATTTTACGTTTCAAGCAACGGTTTGCTTACCTGCTAAAGAAGCGTTTGGATAGCTATTTTTCAATTTCTCGTAAATTTTGCTATAAAATGCTTGCAGGATGCCGAGAGGAACTATACCAACATCATCTTCGAATATAAATATCCAGTCATTATCGGTGAATTGGGCTTCAGGTCTCGATCCGAAATCGCTCCAAAGGTCAATGTAAGTCAGTAGAAGCGACGACACTCTAATGTAACCATTACGCATAATTCGTGAATCGTTAAATGAGACGGACTGTTTATGACTAATATTAAAAAAACCAGGTAATGAAGCATTGAGCTGATTTAAGGTAGCATTGAGGCGCTGAGGTATTGAAGAGATAATATAGGTTAAGTATGGTGGGCCACGCCTACTTCGTAAATGTGCTGGGGTGACATTATTCATCATAACCGATTGGCAGCCCTGCAACTGTTTTCTTGGCTGATTCATAGTCATGTATATCATAGAGATAATGCATATTAAGGAAATTCCAATAAGTAGACGGTGAAGTTGATGCTTGTTGCTATCTTCCTTGAATATGGATGTCACTTGAGAAACATGGTGCATGAAAATTCTCCAATCGAATAATTCCATCTAAAAGAAACAGAAAAGATAGTTCTAGAACACAACTTACTGTTCGTCTACTAGAGCAGATTGTATGCCTAAGCTAGTTCTCGCTGTTTTACGCACTATTGCTATTGATGGCTGCAGTATATAGCGAGAAAATTACAATTTTCTCGTTCCGCTCAACTGGAGTGAATTCTCATTCAAGTTCAAATATAAATGAAAATTTCGAGCACATGTCAGAATCATAGTAGAATAAAAAAAAATTCAGTTGTAAGTTACAATTCAGATTTTGCTGTTCTGTAACTACGACAGGAAAGTAGAAAAAAAAATTTTGCAACAGTAAGTTATGATGCAGATTGCGCTGCTCTGTGACTGAGGTAGAAGAATAAAAAAAAACTCTTTGATTGTGAGTTATAATGTAAATTGTGTTGTTCTGTAAAAGCGGCAGAAATGAAAAAAATTACATCAAGTTTAAGTTGTAATTCAGATTGTGATGTTCTATCACTGCGGCATAGAAGTAGAAAAAAATTATGCCAAGCATAAGCTCTCTGGCGAGTGAAAGACGGGTAAAAGGACTAGTTCTTCTTCTAATCGTGACGTTACATATTGTCTGCCTTTTTTGTGAAAAAGTCCTAGTGCACTGCTAGTCCGAAATTATTTGTGGTTCACAAATCACATCCTGACTGGATTTCTGAAATTTTACTTGCTTTTATTTTCATTATTATTAATATGGCGATAAGAGCTGTTTTTTTTTGTATAAAACATTATTTATTCAATTAAAACTATTTGTATTATCGATCGAACTATAAAACAATGAGATGGATTCTGTTTTAATTTATATAAGAAAATCTATTTCATATGTTCGTCTCCTAATCGAGATGTTTGCATTAAAATGAAAACAAAAGAGATCAATTGATAGAGAATTTTAAGTTCTGTCAGTTACTATAAAACGTTTCTGTTTCGGCGCTGATCTTTATCGTCAAAACCTGATTTTATTGAGAACAGGCGAAGCATACGGGAAAGTGAACTTCTTCAATCCTATCATATTTCATTCATATTTGAATATAGTTAGAATCCAGAAAATTGAGAAACGTCTTATTTTAAAAGAAATTATATTCTCTACAAGTTTACCTTCGGAGTGTTGGTGTGAGTGTGGATGTTTATCTTCTCCTTACTCACACCCGAAGTCACACGCGTACCCACCCACACACACCGATGCCCACATATTCACATCCACACTCTGGAATTGGACCTCTCTATAGTGAACACCATTCAATACTCGACACTTTTGAGAGGTTTTACATAGTGTCCGCTACAGAGTTTTTTCTGTATTTTAACTTTTTTGATTTTACAATTTTTCAAGAACAAAAATGCATGAGGAGAGAAATAACAATGAACACTAGCTGATTATCTTATTGACCGATATCCTTCAAATCCTTAGAAAAAATATCTATTTCTTCGAAAAGCTGTGCTTTTGAAAAATAATTAACCTTCCAATAGTGGACGCTGTTAAAAAGTTCCAGAGATGTCCACTACAGGAAAGTTTTGCAGTATTATAAAATCAATCACTTGTTTATAAATTGACTTTATCGTATTGAGTTGGTCTTTTTCTTTCTGATTATATTGAAAACTTCAATCTACTTCAATTTGTCATCTCACTTTCTTGCCATTCTCACCCTTAATTTCATACTACGAATTTATATTTACGTATCCATCATATCACTTTTTCTGATTTATGAAAAAAGTCACTCAATATTTCTGAACATTCATAAATTTGAATAAACGGTATCATTGTCTGATTTACAGACATCGGTTAATAATGTGTACACAATGTGATCATATGATTTCACAATTGAACAAAGAATAACAGGTGCACAATAACTAATATTGTTCAATGTACGATAGTTGTAGGACGATGTTGATGATGAAAGACAGCTGTTGTTACCATTCGAGCGTACATTACATTTTTGTAAAGAACACTTTGATGCTGGTTGCCATGCAGAACGGAATGACGTACATGTAATTTTGACAGTAACATTATTATTATTACAAGAGTAATTAGGTGCTTTTGCAGTTTGACATAAATATGATTCATTTTACGAGAGAGTTAAATGAGAAGAAATAAGTCAACAAATCTTTTATACATGAGAAAACGATGCTTAACGACAAGATTATTACAAGTCGCATTTTGTATTTGATCAACGAGCAAAAGAAGTATTGAGAACAAACAATTCTTCGGTCTCTTTCACACCATTCACTATGTTTCTCTTTCAATTTGAATTGGACAAAAGTTTTTCTTTCAATGTTTGTTCATACCTTTAATATTAACTTTGTATGTTTGCTTCGTGAAATACTTCCATATCTCAATGAATTTGTTGCCATCGCAATATTTTTACAATTCTTTTTATATTCTAACTGAATACATTATATTTCTTTGACTTTTTCATCAAACTGAAGTCATAATATTTCTTCAAAACATATATGCAATGTCATCAATTCAACAAAATTCTTTTATTGATAATAACAAAATAAAACATTATCTGTAGAGAAACTTTTCATTTTGTTGATTTTCTTTTAGGCTTCGTTTAGCTTGAAATGTTACTCTGATTACTTTGACATTATTTTCATCATAGAAACCTAGTAAGGGTGTAGGTTTGGGTGAAGAAGAAGCCGACATCCGGCCATACCCAAACCCACATCTACATCCTGCCGAATTTCCATATACTTCTCCCACAGAGATGCAGCATCTTGCGATGAAAATTTGTTTTTCGATTTTAAACCAAGGATTCCTGTGGGAGTTGCTTCTCCCTAAGGAGGGTGTGGATGTGCGTATGGATGAAGATAGGAGAGACCAACACGCACCCATACTCTTAAGTGAGTCCAAAATCGTGTAAACTCGAAAGTAATCTGTTCGTGTTCATCGGAGGTATTAGTCCATGTTTTTCCAAGGAGTCAGATGATAACCAACCCAGAGACTGAAACACTATCAATATCTTTTCTTCAATACTCTGGACATTAGCTGAATCTTTTCGAGCTGTTTTTCGACGAATTACACTAATCTTTTTTCCAGATCATTCTGCACTCTGGCTACTTGCGTAGTCCAATGTACATCGAAAAAATTGCTTAATTTAAAACAGAAATAAAAACTGTTTTATTTCTCTAGTGTGTTTGTGGCTTATGTGACAGATATTGAAATCCATTGAAAGAATCGAGAACCTCTAAAAGGATGCAAACATGGATTTTTAATTCATCTAAATATGTGACAGTTTAATAGCTATCACTCGATACGATTTTTGGTAATAAAATCTTATCTGAGATGTTAGACACGACTATATAAAACGTTTAATATCAAGTGGAAGTAGTGTGCAATGTATTTTCTGTCTTTGTCTTACCTTTCGTTATTTTATGACTACCTTTATATATTCACATACACGTTTGATAAATATCGAATCAGAACGGAGAGATTGGTAAGGAATAATGCTAAATCAGTTCTCTAGTTACGGTATTTTTTCTGCATCTTTGAGTTCTAAAAGAGAAAAAAAGACAGGAAGATAGGAATATTATCAGTGTTCTTTTTTTTGGCTACCAATGTATGATGTAATATTCCTTTTGAAATTCTGAACTAACAAGTAAAATCGGAACATTATTTTAGAAACGTCTAAAATGAGTATTGGGCACGACACTGCACCTCAATCTACAACATCCCGCAGAAATCGTTGGGATCCGTTGTCAGATAGTGAAAGACACAAATTTGGTGTTCAAAGTACTCCACCACTTTCACTTCGTCAATTTATTCGGTCAACCATCACCGTTATCCCAGATGGTAAACACTGGAAACCGACTGGAATTCACCATGCGCCTGTTGTTCACGAAGAACAGTTACCAAATCATCTGCCTGAAATCGTTGTAAAACCACAGAAGAACTCACGACCCCCTTGGTGTCCATCTGGTCCTATCAAATATAAACGACCTAAATCACCAACTGCCGAGAACAAACGACAAAAGTCTGAAGACGTTACAAATGATTCTCAATCAAATACGAATTCAAATCTGCACCCCAAAGCTACTCGAAAATTAGTGAAACCGTGGAATCCTTCTGGCAATTCATATTACAAACCAGTAGCATACTTTGATCCGCCAAGTTTAAGATGGTCATCTCAACAAATTAAACAATCAATGCCCGAATTCAAACCAACAATAAAGAATTCACCTACGAATCCAAAATGATCATAATGCACTTTTTTATCATATCTTGTACTGTTGTCTAAATATCGATCACGATTATCATTATTTATTTAATTTTTTCATATATTAGTTTTAAAAAAATCCCCAAAATACACAAGAATTCCGACAGTAGCATATAAAAATGCTCATAGAATCTGATTAAGATTGAATTCTCAAACAAGCTTTGCTCGCATTTTTCTGTAGATTTTTAGATATCCTTTTCAACGTATTACGAGTGATGATCATTCCTCTACAACAATTGTTCTTCTTTAACCTACAGATAGAGCACGAGAAGTTGTCTTTGTTAGAATCATCTTAGTCTTTCCCAAACTGTCTTCTGTGAATCTTTTATAATGAAAACTTTCCAAACATATGAATGGCGCAATCATGGAAAGGAGTCGATAACTTCCTTTCCGATTCATCTAATTTACAGCCGTATTTCCGTATGGAAATAATACGGTTGGACAAATACACTCGGTTATTGCGGATAGATTGGCATTGATAAATTCTTATTGATGGTCGAACATGAATCCTGACAGACCGTAAGCATCAAGAAGAAGCTCCAGGATTAATGAAGACACTCGAATTTTCACGTATAATTGAGACCCCGTAACGAATATTTCCGATGTCATATCGATACGGACTGGCTGTTCTAGATGCTCTTTAAATTGAAGTTTGATTTCTTTTCACCGAGAAGTCAGATGGCAATGATTGAAGGGTGATATTCCTTTGAGCTCTGTGTCATTGGACCCTTTTCAATTTTAGATTTTCTTAGCAGACGCTTGTTCGTCAGGCGCATAGATCAATTTGAGAATGAGAGCCGAAACAGCTCGACACCAAACGAAAGAATTTTACTGATATTTTATTAAAGATGAATAAAAATTAATTCTTCACTAGAATTCGAACCACAGACGAATAAGGCCAGATCGCCATGAAAAAAAAAATATTGCAGGGCACGAAGAAAATCTTGCAAGATTAATCATTCATCAAAAATGAATTTTATCAACGCACGATCACGAATAATACCAAACACTATCTACGAATAGCTAGTTGAAATTTGGATTGACTACTTCCATTTATTGGGGCACAAAAATTAAATTAGAAAGATCATAATGACAAGTTAATTGTTGTCATTTTTGTCGTTGACACAACACATGGAAAATCATTTTTTGTCGAACTTGAAATCTATGATTAAAGTATCGGGTAAATATAAATAGGCTGCTATACTAAAGCAGACTCTTACCGAGACATTTACAGCTCGGTTGTCTATCGCTACCACTGAGACACATATCCACTTTCGGAACACATTCAACCATACTTTGGATTTACGACAGAAGGTTGCCAAGTGTGAGTCTCAGTTTTGAATAGAATGTATATCAATTTGTAGAGTTCAACGAGGTGATTCTTGTGGTATATTTCATTTTTTCTTATAAAACTTCATATAAGAAAAACTGATCGATTTTACTAGTGAATTTCTTCACTTTGAATAAATTTCGAAATAGTTGTTAGAAATTTAGGACTTCAAAGGTACTTAAAGTTTAAATGCTCATTTTGGGTGTGGGTGTGGCAAAGACGAGAAGAAGAATACTCATACTCTATATCCGCCCACAGCCTTGACTGAAATTTAAAAAAATCAGTTCCAAAGATGTCTGTGTTTTATATTGACTAACTCGAAAATAAATTCGACAATAGTTCAAATGATTATTGTTGGATCTATTCGAATTCCAAGATAATTCCATCTGATAAAAATGAACAAAGATAGATTTGCTGAAGATCGACATTTCAGAAACAATTTCAAGACTGGGAGATTTCTTCACAATAATCATGCTGTATTTCACAAAATCACGTGAATATAGATGTTCTCTTCAATCACTCCCATACCAACATATCTAATTATATGTTCATCTATTTAAGACATATATTAATAATACATGTTAATCATGTTTCAATTACTTGCCTTATCTAATATACTTTTTCAAATAAACATGTGCGAAACAAGTAAATAGAATGCAGATCATTGAAAACGAGATATCTGACAAGGCTTTAATTACTATGTCTTTGGAATAGTGCCTCTAGAGAATCTTGATCAATTTTGAACAAACTAGCTGAATTTCATACATGAGTAATATTAATAATACTGAAATATTCAACGTATAGATGTAATTAGAGTTTCTATTGATATTCATTGGGCGAATATGTACAGTCAATTAAGGTGCATTCAGTATTAAAATGCTGAATGTTGAGAACTGAACTGTCATAAAAATTAAAATTTTCGAAATAATACATTACAGTAATTTTTCTAAAGTCGATATCGCTCTAACTTTTCAACGAAAGTCTATTGGGAAGAACGTTTCATGCCGTTGTGATCAGCTCACTGAGCTCTACAAACTGCCATAAAGACGATTGAAAACGAAGAATCACACTTGGAAACCTCCCCTCGTTAGCCTACTTGGCAAATGTATTGAATTATTATCCGGTGTAACCAACCATCAGTTATTCTCACATGAGGAGAGTTTAAACTCATAAAACTACAGGAAACCGAAAGTTTAAATGTAATTTCTGTAAGACAAGAAAATTAAATTACTTCAACCATCAAAACCTTCTCATATTTCCCGCGGATTAGAAAAAAGATCGATTTCTTTTTGGGCTCTTAAACCTTCCCCATTGAAACATCAAAAAAAGATGAAATTTTGTTACGGTCAATATTTTTAGAATAACTCAGTCTTAGTTAGAAGAAATTCAATAAAATTTTACTGATAATAGGTTTGAATGGTTTCTATCTATGATAAAAATTTTACAGAGTTTGTTTTTATTATTGATGAGATATAGATGCAGATTTAAACAAGAGAACTAGAAATCAGAAGCCTTCCATATACACTAATGAGCTACATAAGCTCGAAATGTTTTTGTCATTCAGCAGAAAGTATGCTTGAAGTTTAGCTTTGTACTTTTAATTTATTCATACAATAGGATTTACTTTTTCAAACTTAGAACAATATACATTTAATAGATTTTTTCTGATAAAGTCAGCAGTTATAAGCTTAAAAAATATTCTTTTATTTTTTGTTCATAATGACGAGTATCACAAAATACTTAACGTTCAAATCATAATACGACAAGCAAATTTATTTAAAATTTCTATAACTAAAAGAAAATATTTACTCTCTATATATACATATACGAATTGTTGTACATATTGGAATTAAAAATCTTCACAAATGAATCGAATTCCATGCAAACTTTTCTTCTCATAACAGTCCTTATTGTTCTTAACCGACCATTCTATCATCGTTTGCATAGACAAGAAATGAAGCAGATCACCTAATAAATCTGGTCGATGTGTATTATTTGAAGATCGATAATGAACAATGATCTTTCATCACTATCGCCGAGGTTACTGCGACATTGACAAAGACTTGTTCCATTGATTTCACCATATTGGAAGGAAGAAGAAGATGAATTCGAATTTCTTCTCTTCTTATTTCAAGTTAATTGTTCGGGCGAAAATGTTCATTGTTAACGATTGGTGAAGAATGGCTGCACGTATTATCCTATAAATATGATGAGAAAATCGAGCGTCACAGAATTATAAACATGTTTACCTTTATGTACGCATTTTTTTTTACGATTTTATTTGTCACCACCAAAACTACCAGGCCTCGAACTGTTACCCGACGAGCTTCTAATAGAAATTCTTTCCTGTCTATCTATTTCGGATCTCTACTATGGTTGGTTAAATCTTAATTGGCGCTTCAATATTATGCTAAATAATTTGCCCATTCGAAAATTTTACATTGAACCAAAACGGTAAATAATAAATCTATTTCTCATAAGATTGAATCAAAGTTAATGTTCATTTTAGTTCATGGTGGCAATGATGATGGTATTCATGGCCAAATTCTAATAATATAGAATCTCTTCAAACTCATCAATGTTTTTCTTCGTCCATAGTGAATAAGATTAATATTCTCAATTATCCAAATCTTCGTATGTTGACATTTTCGTCAACCTACTTCACAATTTTCGTCATCTTGAATATCTAGTTCTTGTCGAAACGAGTAATTTCCATTTCGAAGTTTTCTGTCAATTCAAAACACTTCGTTCGTGTGAAGTATGGTCACTTAAAATCGATAATACACAATCATGTTCATCATCATCGTTTCGATCATTAATTCTTCACGATTGTAATCCATCGACTTTAGCTTATTTTTTTCGTCATCTTCTTCAAATGATTTCTTTCAAAGTGAATATTTTATCAATCGATAATTATGTCAATAAATTCGATTCAACTGATGTTTTTGTTCATTCTAATCTTATGTCACTCGACATAGGATTATTCAATCTTAATTCTTTCATTAATGACATTAATACTGATAAATTTGACTTTCTTCCAGCAGTACTATCCTCTCTACCACCCAATAATCGTACTCGTTGTCGTTTGACTCTGTTTGGTGTCTCAAATTTCAATTTTGAACAAGTTCAACGTATTGTGCTTGAACGCAATATCTGTCGTTTCTCATGTGTATTCTCCTATTTTCGCAAGCTCTATTCATTGCCAAACTTCGATCGTATTCGTCAATTACCATTGTTCAATCGATTCCAACCAATAAATATTAATTATGATGGTGCCGTTATATATAAGTTATCATGGATTAATACTAACGATGTTTTTTTGAACTAGTTGTTTTTGTATAAGAAATACATGTATAAATCATCATATGTCGAGTGAGATGGTCACATACATATCAATACAAAACTGAGAGCTATTTTGAAGTTTATTATGAGAAGAGCGTTTTTTAGAATAAATATTAATCAAAACGTGAGTTTCAAGTGAGATATTCTATCATCGATGATAGATTGACATGATATCCATTGAGGACGAACACAAAAAATTCACATAGATTAAGTATTTCGTTATTGTTGAGTAGACAAACTGTTCATTTAGAAAGGAAAGAAACTGATTCCAACTTGTATTCATATTGAATTCTGGGTCAATGTGCTAAATTGAAGAATCTGATTTTTTCTCCTATTTAAGGATATTCCATGACTGAATAGCATTGGATCGAACAAAAAGCAAGAGAAGATTTGTGATTTTCTATCTCTTCTCCATTATAGTATCGTCTGAAGCTCGATCTGGAACATGGGATTTTTTTGTGCTTGTGACATACGAGTAGTCAAAAAAAAAAAGGGTGGATGTGGGTGTGAGTTCTCTCTTCATTAACACATACAGCTATACGCACACCTACACCCTCAGTGAGAATGTGTTGAAGAGTTATGTGAATGCGACAAATGATTGTCGGGAAACTCTTTCAGATAAACAAGCAAATGACCTCAATGAACAATTCAAAGAAATGTTTCAGATATTTTGTGAGTGATGAAAGAAACTAATTTTCATCATAAAGAATAAAGTTTGTCGTTTAGACTGTCTTTTCTTTGATGGAATTCTTTTCATTCGAAAGACAAAATCAATTTTTTTTCGCAAAAACAAAGCTGTTTGTCCTTCAATCAAAACTTTTTTCTGATATGTTGCAAGAAAAAGAAATGTTCGTTTTAATCGAAAATCGACAAATCTCCATCTTCGATGAAAAGAACAACAGAAAACCTTCAACAATCATTTCTCTTTCAGTCGTATTAACAAAAAAAAAAGAAGTTTCATTTGACGAAAATTCTTTTTTTTTTCGTTTTTTTCAATAAACTTTTCTTTCGAACACATCATTTCTTTCTCCATCCGTAGAGATAAATCGACATCTTTGTTCATTCAGTGTGAAAACATTTTTTCTTTGTAAGTATAGAAACTACTTTTCATCGATCATTGTTCATTTAAATGAATCTTCTATTTCTACATTCTTTTACAACAAACATCAAAAGGAGAAATTCATCTTTCTTTTTCAAAAGAACATGGCAGAAAAGGCGAAGATTTTGATTTTGTTTATGTGTAAAATATTTCATCATTAAATCGATTTCCTTCTATACGATATACTTCAAACAAATGAAGGAAATTTCGATTGTTTAAGGAGAAAACAAAAGTAACACATCGGTCGTCATTTATTGAACAAGTTAAATGAACTACAAACATTCAACGTAATACTTTTCTACTTTTTTTTTCTCTCATCCGAATCCTCAATTGAAATATTGTAAAGAAGAAAGAATGTTGCAGTTCTCTTCAAATACTCTCTTTAAACATTTTATTTCGATTTTATTCATATATGTTTGAGAATACATCACATCAAGAATCCTAATGTTCATTGAATTAATAATAAATGTAGAATAAGAATCTCGTTTATTGATGGAATATTTTAGAATAACTTAATATACAGAAAATACAATCAGTAAGAATACTAGACAATACAATTTTTGTTCCATAATATACATACAAAAAACAAATTTGACAATGTTTCAATTTTAAATAGCTTTATATAGATTGTAGAAAGCAAACACAGTAAATATGAGTCCTAGAAAATGATAGACAATAAAATGAGACATTCCAAAATCAATTGTAACACATAAAATGATAAAAATTAATCGTAATAAAAAAACTTTCCTTTGACATAAAATTGAGAGTGCCGTTGAAGATGAACGTGCAGTCGAATTTATCTCTTGATTTTCGACTAAATTCATCTGATTTTGATACATTATTGATGTTAAGAATGATGCTCCTGATGCTTGCAAATAAATTATTGCCAGCTCACGTGATACAACTTTTGGAATTGAATTAATCATTAGGCATGATAGTTTAGAATCCGATAATTTACTACTAAGAATGAGTGGTTTTAGATCATCAAAAAAATGATCAAAAATGATTTTGATCTTATCTTCATGTTCGGTGAAAAATCTTCGAAATAAATTTTGTGTTCGAGTCACATCATTGTTAGAAAATGGTAGATTAAATGTGCGTTTGATAATGTACATAACAAATTCATCATAAAAATGATGCTTTATGTCATGAATAATGCCAGGATACTGTCGATAGAAACTATCGATTTTAGTCTTCAATCTAGTAGGAGATGATATTAAAATAGGAGCATTGAATGATGAATATAAATTTTCAGGAAATGAGTGTATGAAATTATGACTATTCAAATCGGCTAAAATCTCTTTTAACTGAATTTCGAACTCACGAATAAAAACCAAATTATTTTCCATGTCAGATAATGAAATCTAAAATAGAAAATCTTAATATTAATTTTGTTTTTTTATCACATTTATCATATATTTGATTTTTCATCTGTGAAAAAAATACTCAAAATACATTCATTTTTGACTTAGAATTATTCAACAAACTTCAGATTACAAAATATAAATCTAAACGATGAAACATAAAATTATAAATTAATATAAGAATAAACTACATTATAAACGAAATCGAATAATATGTATTTACTCTGTCATTCCTACCTTCTGTCTATATAAAGAAAAGCTGCAGGAATAATCTAACTATTCTCTGACCATGTCTTTTATAAATGAAGGTGATACTTTAGTCATTTTATTGACATGGCAACCATAATGATTACAAGATCATACTTTTAAGCAATGACAAATGCAAACAAACACTTATAACAAAAACAAAAAAATGAGTAATTGAGAAAAGTCACAATATGTTTTATGCGATGGTGTGTAGTAAGGGAAATCTTTATAGGTTTCTTGTTTTTATTCAGCGACAGCATGAGACACACAGAAAGGATAAATTTGGTTTTTTCCTTCATAAGTTGTTTGTGCTTGTAGACGAAAGACAATATTTATTTCTTTCTGCACATAATAAATTCTTCATCTGTCTATGACGATGTTTTTTGAAATGTGAATCATCTCCGACTGGGAATGTTATATAAAAGAATAGGAAAAAATTTTACTCTAAACTAACGATGTAATCGATAAGATTTTTTTTACTTAGAAAACTATTTTCGAATGGCTAATGTAGAAGAACAAGTACAAATTCTTCAACGTCACCTAAATGCTTTTCTTGAAAAAAGAACAGAAATGATCGATTTTCTCAATCACTGTGCTAATACACTAGATGAACACAATAAGAATGTTAAAATTACCAAAGTGGTGACTGGTAGTATCGGGATAGGTGGTACACTCATCAGTTTAGCAGGAATAGCATTTGCTGGTCCAACTGGCGGCTTATCACTTGTACTCACCTTTGGTGGTGGTATCTTGGCAACAGCAAGTGGTGCAGCTCATTTGGGTTCCGATCTTGTTGAACGTATTTTAACGAAAACGCATTTAAACAAGTTGGATAGACTTTGTCAAACTGATGAGGAAAATTTTATTCAGTTAAATAATTATCTAAGGCAATTTGTTACAAATCTACGCAACAATACATTTCGTAATTATATCTCCCCCAGCACGCAACGCAATGCTTTTCAAGAATTGGCAAGTTTAACTAATTTAACATATTCAGTTGTTCGTATCACCCGTGTAGCATCATCAACAGGCCGTTCAATTCGTGTTTTTAGTGCTGCTTCAGCCATTTTAGGTGAAAGATGATCATGTTATTATATATCTAGTACATTATATTTTTTTCAGGTATTGTCACTTTGCCACTTCAGGCAATTGATCTTGTAATGGATGGACATGCATTAAATCAAAATCAACCATCTAATGTGTCTGTTCAACTTCGTCAACTTGCTCAAGATCTTCGGACTCAAGCAGATAATGTTAGAATGTGTGTTGAACCCAGGATCAATCAGCTTTTGGAGAATCATCAATTACCTCAGAATATCCAGAATAATTGGCAGGTCATCTATTGGATACTAGCAACGATAGTATTTTTTCTAGCTTTCATCTTCATAAAAAGTATTTTCAGCTGGCTGTTTAGTGTCTTTTTATTAATACTATGGTACATAAAATGCAGTCGTTATATTGCTATCATAATTGCATGTTATTTCATATTTTTCCGACGAAGTTAACAGGTTTTTTTGGTTGAGAGAGAAATTTTATCAGCACGCTCTCACAATAATTTCTTCACAAATGACACATTTTTTTTTCAACTAGTTCACTATACAGTTCTTTATCCTTATTGTAAACAGACTTATGATTACAAATAATTTTTAATGTAAGTTTTAATCCTTTTAAAACATTTAATAAAAACAAAAGTACAAAATCATCATTGAATCCGCGCACAAAAACAAATGTTGATCATAAATAATCTTTATTTGACGATACTCGAACCTAGTTTGCGATGATGGGTGTGGATGTCAGTGTAGATGTGGCAAAAGAAGAATACACACACCCCACACCTGTGACCGAAATGAAAAATCAGTTCCAAAGATGATTGTATTTTGCATTGACCAACGCAAAAATAAGCTCAACAATCGATCAAATAATTATTATTGGATTTATTCGAATCGTAAGAAGCTTCCATCTAATCAAAATGCACAATATCGATTTGTTAGAGATCAACATTTCACGACAGAAAGATTTCTTCACAATAATCATATGTTGTATTTCACAAACGCGAAATAATATCCAAAAAAAATAATTAAAAAAAGAATAATTTGACTTTGAACAAAAATTCATGTTCGAAATCTTTAGTGAATGAAAAACAAATGTCCTTTTTTTTCATGTGCTATTTTGAATCTAGCCATTCTTGCTTAGTGAATCACCACTTATCTCATAAATGTTTCAGCTGCTTGATTGTATATTGATCGATTTCGTTTATTGCGAAATAACGTATACATCAACCGGTAGCTTGTAAAACTGTCGACTACAATTTGAGCATTCTCTTGTCGATAATTATTTCAATCAACAATAAATCTAATTGGCATTGTTGTTTTTTGTAATAAATACTTCTATAGATGACGCTTGTTGCACTATGAATAATCTTTCTGATTTGTATCATCATTCATTTGATGATATTTTCGATTGTGTCTTTTATTGATTTCTCGATCTGTTAGCTCATAAAAACAGACTCACTCTCAAAAGAGATACACTTTTTTTTCTAATATACAATATTGAAAAATATGCAGCTATTCAAGTTTTCCATAGCTATTTAAAATTTCTCTTGCTAAATAAATACTTGTACGCTATCTATTTAACATCGAATGTCTATAAATATTAGATGAGTAACTGTATAATACGAAACACTGCTGCAGTAATAAATAAATTTTCATAGATGATAAACTGATGATGATCGATTTATTTAATGGTACACTATTTTTTATTGAACAAGGGAAGGAGTAAAAAAACATGAAAATATTTTTATATTGGTTTTTCATTTATCAATCTGTACTATTTAAAAATATTCAGTGCTGCTTAATAAATTTTCTTAACTATTTACATAGATAGTAGTTATCTGTCTATTTAATAGAAAAAATAAAATTGGTCATATTTTTAATGTAATAATAAATATCAGCTGTTGTATATTGATGTTCATTCAATTGATCATCATACACTTCTTCAAAATAAAAGAATTATTATTTGACTAATGAAAAATTTAGCAATTGGCTATGTTCATTTTTTCAAATTCTTGTCGTATAACAGTGCGTTAGATGAAACTTGTTTTCACTATTTATGCAAAAAAGAAAAACAAAAGTATGAAGCTATAGATAGATAAATATTCAACATCTATTTGAATTATTTAGCTATTATGAATTTTGTTTAAATAGTGATCTACACATTTTGAATTAGCTACGATAATGTTGTACAAGCACTACACTTTAAATATCTATGATTGTTTCTTTAAATAGTTGAATGTTTATTAAAAAATATCTCTTTTGATAAGTTGCGCATAAAATGTCATATTGGTTGTCGGTTTTAAAGAAACATGCACTGATGAAGTGATATTTTCGTCGTCAGACACCGAATGGTCGATTTACAAAAAAACAAAAAAATCATTAACTTCATTACAATCAAAGACGTATGGGATTGCTTAATATTTCATCTAATTTATTTCGACAACCATAACAAGAAGAACTTTAGCTCTTGATTTTCTTTTACAAATATCCATTTGAACAGAGAGATGAATTACATACTATTCCAATTAACGACAGTATTCTGTTTGGTTGGCTGTTTTTGTTTTTCTCTTATGACACTAGTTAATGTATTGTAGTCTATGGTCGTCTACTGGTTTCAGAAAACATGCACAGCACTTCTATTGAATATATCTTTGATAGTGAATTGCTAGCTCCTTCTGTCTACAATTGAATGGAATTTCATTGTTGTTTTTTGAAGGACAGAAAGGGTCGACAAAATTTACTATCAATGCCTTATTCAACGAAAGTGCATTTATTTCTGAAATCAGTAGCCCATATTCTAGCAGCAGCATCAGCAAAGAGCCAATCGAAATGAATATATTAAATGAAACAAGTTTGCACAATTGAATTTAATTTCGGTAAACTCTACTGAATATACAAATAATGTCAACAGAGCTTTTGTTTTTCTAAAACTTAAAACTGAATACAAAATAGTATGTAACGTTTCGATTAAATCGATTTCTACTATGAAAATCTATAGAGGTTGATTTTAATTATTTTGTTTTTATTTTACAAGTTTTTTTCTCCGAGAACATATAAAAAAACGGCTTCGATCATTGAGAGAAGTGCTAGTTCTCATTTCTGTCACTTCTGTGCGTCGTTTTTAACTTAACAATGAGAAAGAAACAAAATACTATAACTAATGATCATCGATACTATATTTTTTTTCTCGATTTTTCATTAGTAAATTTGACGTGCTAAATTCTTTCAAATAAACTATATGGTCATTGCTTTATTTTTATTAGTAATAAGAGTTGACGATTCAAATAAAACAAAAGCATTTTGTTTTGCCAAGCAACGTAACGTGGCAATCAATATGGAAAGAAATGAACAAAAACGTTTTGCACTTACTTTTTTGCTCTTTGAAGCATGCTATTTACATAAGAATCGATCAATTTCTCGATTGCTTCGATGCTCATTAGATTGTAAATCAACGTAGAAGTAGTAAGAGAACGTACAGATCCTTGGTAGCGACATTTTTTCACTGTTTCAAGCAATTAAAATTGTGATACAGAGAATCCTTCTAAGTTTGTCTCAACTTGTGGGGTAGGCTTCCGTAAAAAAAAATTGATCACTGATTTTACAGTCTTTATATGATAGTTGTTGAAAATCGACACTTTTTTTGCAGTGAAAATTGCTGTTTGAAAATGATTTCCAAACTGTCAATTTTTCACCAATGGTTTTTTTTCTTTCCTACGTTGTAGTTTATTGACTTCAAGTTGTAGATTTTGACTTTGCTCTATTGATCAATCAATCATGAACAATAATAACAACCAAAATAACCAAACACAAAGATACATGCAAATCCAACCGAACAGTCAAGCGTCTACCGTTCCACCCAATGTGAGGATGAACAACTTCACTCCACAAGCGCCTTTATCATATAATAACCCATCGTCGAATAATGCATCTCATCAACCATCAAACAATAAGGGTAAGTATCCATTGCATTGTTTATAACAGAAATTGTCGTCGCCGATTCTTTTAGAATGGTGGCAAAATATGCCACCATACAATCCTTATCGAACAACGAATCAAGATTATGGTCCTTCAAAAAATCAATCTTATCCTACGTCCAATGTCAATGCGCAGCCAAATATCTATAAACAAGTATGTATTGCTGAATTTATTCTATTCTTTTACTACATATGCATTTCGTACCGTTTAATTCTCAGGGTCCCAATACGAATGTTAGCAGTGGAAATTCATCTGCAACGACGTTTTACTCGGGCAACAGTTCGATGCCTTACAATTCAGCTCAACCTCCACAGCATATGTGATAGTTAACATGCGTTTAAGGATGACATATTTCGTGTGATTTTGTTGTCTTATGTAGAATGCATTTGTTATTCAAGGTTCCTATAGAATTTCAAGTAAAACCTACGATCACGAGAAGTTTCATCAAAATTTAATAAATTTTTTCAATATGATGTATGCTTGTAGCTCCATACAGTAGAAATTCAAACAGGTTGTCAGCCTATTGTGTTTTTTTTCTTCTCAACTTTGAATAATAAACTTCGTTTTATGAATAGAAAAGGTGATAAACACAGAACTTCAATTATGTCTGTCTGTAACATAGTTATTATGGTACAAATAACGGCGTAGGATAACAAAAAAGGGCATCTATACATTAGAATCTAACTCAATCGAGAAGTAATATCTCAAGAGAAAGAATACGAAACCTGTATACATTACATAGGTGAAGTTAGCGACGGTTTGCCCAAGAATCTGTTTTAGAGCCGCTATTCTTGTTCGTAATACAATTAGATATTCTACAGTCTAAATTATGTCCGAGAAAATTAAATCAAATGATTGATTATTGTGAAGTATACAAATAGTACAAATGTTAAACGATGATGCTAGCTTTATTTTCTATCAGCTTAAGGGTATCACGGTAAAAGCATCATCCACGCCCTTTCATACAAGACCAATAATATTTATCTTTTAAATATTGAAATGATTGACTAAGATAAGTGTACTTTGTAATAATTTTGCAACTGTTGATGTAAAAATTAAAACTTTTGAATAAAAATAACCGAATGAAACTGTTTCTTTTTTTAACAGACCGATATTCTAAAACATTCAATAATATTCTATCATATGATAGGGAGTTATTCTAGTTCAGTATCAAATTCGATACAACTGAGCTGGTAAAAATTGTTAGATGTTCATAAAGGAAATTTATTTTAAAAAAAATCTTGTATAAAATAAGTTCATGATAAGTTATTAAAAATGTCCTTGACATGAACATTTTCCATTTGAATGGAAATGATGAATACGATTACTATCCCGAATAATTATTGTGCATTGTCGAATTTTTGCTAGAAGTTTTATAGCTTGATCTAAAACACAACAACAAAAAAAAAGAACACATATATATATATATTGTTAAAATCGATTAAAATTTAACTTACGACAATCACCACAGATACGTAAGTTCTTAGTAATTTGAATAATTGTTGGAACAGGTCTTTGAATGAAATTGAAAGCAATTGCTAATTTTTCACTATGACCACACAAAACAGATTCAATTGTTTCTTCATCATCTATTTGACGAGTTATACAAGAAGAATCAAATATATGACCATGTTCAATTAATTCAGATGCTAATCGATTGAGTTCAGCATAGATTTCTAATGATCTTGGATGAGAATGATCATGTGCTTTAAATTGCTGGAAACAACAACAACAAAAAAATCAATAATATTTTATTTTTTTCAATATATTAATATTTAAATAAAAGTATTTTACCACTAATTCATCATTAACTTCAGTCCATGATAATCCAATTTTAGTTTTCATTCCAAATTGTTTTATTTGATTAAATCGAAATTCTTTTGCATATTGATATTCACCAAAAGATGAATATATATTTGAAAGAAGAATTGCACCGGATTGAAGTACTTGTTTTTGATTAGAAAATAAATATTTCATTCGATTATATATTTTTTCAGATAATATATGATTACGATTATTACGTGCACTAGATAATAAAGCCACTAAAATATGACAAAAAATAAATTAATATAAATATATATTAAAAAAAAAACTACGTACTATACATAACAAAATTTGGTGAATTTGTCTTTTCATATTCATCAATTAACTTTTGTGCTTCATCAAATAAAAACAATCGACTTAGACAATCAATCTAAAATTCAATATAATTAATAAAATAAAAATCAACCAACCAAACAAACAAACCATAATAGTAATGATTTGTTCTGTTTTCATAGGAATTTCATTGAATATTATTCGAGCTTCATCAAGAAGACCCGAATGAGAACATGCATTTAAAACACATATATGTGAAATTTCATTACGTAAATTATTTGGCATTTGTCTATATAATTCAATAGCTTCTGAACCCATTCCATTAAGTCCAAATGCATTAACTATATATAAGAATTAAAATGAAATTTGAATATAATATAATAAAAAAAAAAATTTACTCATTGTTGTATATGTCACTGAATCACGATCATAAACTGATTTATATACATTTTCTGCTTTTTCAATTGAACCACATTTACCCTATGTGATAATAGAAAAAAAAATGATAAATGAATTAATCATTGAATTTTTTTCTAAGCAATATTTACCCACATATCAATTAATGAATTTTGAATTTGTTTTTTATTTTGAATATATCGAGGAATTTGATCAATAATATATTGACATCGTGAAAGAATACCAATTCGTGAACATGTACCAATAAGTATATTCCATATAATTTCATCAGGAATAAGATTTTGATTTTTTATTTCTTCAAAAATTTTAAAACATTTCAATGATTCATCATTTATATTATAACCATTCATTAGAGTACCATAAGTAATTATATTTTTCTTTTTCATTGATTCAAAAATATATTCAGCATTATAAACATCACCAAATTTCATTAACATATGTATTGCTGAATTTAATACTATATTTTCATTTTGATAATTAGAAGGTATTTGATCAAGAAGTTTTTTTCCAATTTTCATTGCACGATCATTAACAAGTTCAGCACATGCATTAAAAATAATTGAATAAGTAATATTATCTAAATTTAAATCTATTTGTTCAAATAAATCTAAAGCTTTTTCCGACATATCATTATCGACATATCCTAAATTAAATCTTATATTATTCAAATAGTTATCTTTGATATATTACCTTTCATCATAGCATTATAAGTAATAATACTTTTGTTCTTAATCGATTTGAAAAAATGTTCAGCACTTTGAATATCACCAAATTTCATTAACATATGTATTGCTGAATTTAATGGAATATTATCATTTAGATAATTATCAGATATTTGATTAAGAAGTTTATATCCAATCTTTCTTGCTCGATCATTAGTAAGTTCAGCACATGCATTAAACATACTTGTATAAGTAACATTATCTAAGTTTAAATGCATTTGTTCAAATAAATCTAAAGCTTTTTCAATCATTTTATTTTCGACATATCCTAAATTGAATTTTACATTATTCAAAAAAAAACTTATTAGCGCAGTCTCAATGTAGAACTCACATATATTCTTTAGCCTCAATAAAATGTGAAATGAAAAAAAATCTCTCATAGACTGTTTCAAAATAATCGATCAACAAAGTAAAGATTTATCTTATTTTGTTTCAGCACTATGTTTTGTTTGTTTGAATTAAATGGCGAATATGCCTATTGTACATATTCATCAAATCTACAGTAGCAAGTCTTAACGCACTATTATATATCTCGATCGACACATAAACTGTAGCAAAACAATGCAACCCACAGTAGGGAAGTGGAAGTTTGCAATTCTCAGAACCTTTTTGGCGATTTCAGCACTTTTAGGTACTGAGGGGTTAGGAAGCTGCGAGTCCACGTTTTTGCGGATTCGAGGTTTTTTCCATCAATATCTGGCACCTTTTATGTACATGAACAAGTAAAGAATCAAAGTTTCAGCTATTTATTCGCTACTCTCAGGCAAAAACCCAACCTACAACTATATTTTGTTGCTGGATTTCTAATCAGCGGGTCCGAAAAAAAATAAAAGGTTGGACCCGGACTCAGATCCGCAGCTTCCTAGCTAAGGTGTTAAGGTTAAAGTAGAGATTTTGTCACAAAAGAAGAGTTATTTTTTTTGAGGAGAGAAAACTGATTTTTCTATAAAATTTTATAAAAAAAAAATCGTTATTTTCGGAAAATCACGTCTAATTTCAAATATGTATGAGCGCTTCAGTACTTTTCCAGCATCTGATAGTAAAATTTGGACGATGAAGTACTGCACTGATCATCTTGAATATAAATTTTTATCTACGCAAAAAACAAAAACTATACTTCTTAAAACATTGACAATTGTATTTCAACTATTCAAATTAAGGCTGTAGAATATTCTCGAAAATATCAACTTCATCTCGTTAATTCCATTCAACTCATTTTTTGTCTCGATTGCTAATGGTTGTAATGGGAAGTCGGAAAACTTGCTCACCGATATGTGAGTTCTACAAAAACCTATCTAATATATATTACCTTTTATCATAGCATTATAAGTAATGATACTTTTATTCTTGATTAAATTAAAAATATGTTCAGCATATTGAACATCATGAAATTTCATGAACATATGTATTATTGAAGTCAATAGAACATTATCATTTCGATAATTATCAGGTATTTGATTAAATAATTTTTTTCCAATTTTTATTGCACGATCATTGGCGAGTTGTGCACATGCATTAAAAATAATAGAATAAGTAATATTATCTAAATTAAAATTTATTTGTTCAAATAAATCTAAAGCTTTTTCAGACATATTATTGTCGACATATCCTAAATTAAATTTTAGATCATTCAAATAATTATTTTAAATATATTACCTTTCATCATAGTACTATAAGTAATAATATTTTTATTTTGAATTAAATTAAAAATATGTTCAGCATATTGAACATCATGAAATTTCATTAACATTTGTATTATTGAAGTTAATACAACATTATCATTTCGATAATTATCTGGTATTTGATTAAGAAGTTTTTTTCCAATTTTTATTCCACGATCATTGGCAAGTTGTGCACATGCATTAAAAATAATTGTATAAGTAACATTATCTAAATTTAAATGTATCTGTTCAAATAAATCTAAAGCTTTTTCAATCATTTCATTGCCAATATATCCTAGAATGAATTTTAACATCATTCAAGTAATTATCTTAGGATATATTACCTTTCATCATAGTATTATAAGTAATAATACTTTTGTTGTTGATCAATTGAAAAATACGTTCAGCATTATAAATATCACTAAATTTCATTAACATATGTATAGCTGAAGTTAATAGAACATTATCATTTAGAGAGTTTTCTGATATTTCATTAAGAATTTTTTTCCCAATCTTTATTGCTCGATCATTAACAAGTTGTGCACATGCATTACAAATAATTGTATAAATAATATCATTTGGTTTTAAATACATATGTTCAAATAAATCTAAAGCTTTTTCAGACATATCATTACTGACATATCCTAAATTGAATTTCATATTGTTCAAATAGTTACCTTATATATATATATACATAGGACACTACAAAAGTTTTTTCATCCGCTTCTTCTAAAAGTCGTAGTTTGGGTTCAAATATTCTGTTATAATGCTTAGACATATTTACCATTATGGGCAAAATTTCAGTCTCATCCTTTGCTGTTGTCCATTATTTCTTTTATGTTAGTATCATGTCATTTTCTATACGCTACATAACAGGTGATTTATAATAAATGACTGAACTTTGCATTTCATGTCTTGATCCGTAAAAACATTTCATTAAAAACAAACAAAATATACCAGAAGATGCAACATGAGAAACTCTACAATGTTCTAAACAACCAATTTTCAATGCTGCTGCGAAAAGTACTTCGAAGAATTTCGCTTCTTTTTGAAAATAAAAAGTATATAATTAAAATAAGCTATTCTTTCTAAATTGTAGAGCTTTTCACGCTGCATATTTTGTTTTTTTTATATAGAACATATTTAGGGGTCGAAATATGAAATCAAAGTTCCGCCATCTATTACAATTCATCAATTAGCAAGTCGCATGCGTCTATCGTAAAAGAAATGATGGACAACAGCAAAGGATAAGGCTGAAATTTTGCCCATAATGATAAATATGTCTAAGCAGTATAACAGAATAGTTGAACCCAAACTACGACTTTTAGAAGAAGCGAATGAAAAAACTTTTGTAGTGCCCTATGCATATATATATGTATATGTATTACCTTTCATCATAGCACCATAAGTAATAATATCTTTCTTCTTGATTGATTGAAAAATACATTCAGCACTTTTAATATCACCAAATTTCATAAACATATGTATTGCTGAATTTAATAGAATATTATTATTTCGATAATTATCAGGCATTTGTTCAATAAGTTTTTTTCCAATTTTCATTGCACGATCATTAGCAAATTTTGTACATGCATGAAATAGAGTAATAAGTGTAATAGTATCTGGTTTAATTTTCATTTCATCAAATAAATCAAATACTTTTTCTGACATACTATTAGAAACGAGACCTATTTAGAAGAAATATTTCATGATTAAAAAAAATATATATATATATAGAATATTAACCTTTGAACATAACTGTATATATATGATTGGATTTATTTGTAATTGTAGAAAATATACGATTAGCATTATCGATATCATGACATTGCACTAATAATATAAATATATGTATGATTCAATGGTTAGGACTTATTTTAGTGCAGAAAATTTGAAAGTTTTTTCTGTTGATTTAGATTCATAAAAAGAATGACTTACTATAGAAACGAATTAATGATATTTGAATATAAGGATTATTGAGTGAATTTGTTGAAAGTTTTTTTTGAATGTTAATACCACGTTTATAATCTTGTAATATAGTACATGCTTTTATGGCCATGTTAATACTTAGATCTGTACATATTTCATAATTTTTATCAAAAAGATCTAAAGCTTTTTCATATTGTTTAGAATTGATGAGATTTTTTAATATTGAATTGAATTTAATTGATGATGAATTAAAAAATTCTTCATTTTTTTTTCTGATATAAAGATAATAGACGTGGAAATTGATATAATGAAAATCTAATATTTTTAATTTGTAACATGTTTTTATCTAAAATAAAATATAGAAATATGTCATTTTTCTAACAAAATCGATGCAAGAAATTATTTTTCTGAAGTTGATTGTTAAAAACTAAGCTCCTTTATTTTTTTGCTTGTCAATACATCGATTTGAGATCTCTCTATAGTTGACTCATACTCTTACACCAATTGGTCCATTTAATACAGCAATGAGAGTGAGGGTAAGAACGAGAATAAAAATATGTCTGATTTGCAGTAGTAACTATTTCCTGTGTATGATTTTTCTCAAAACAGTAATATCGATGTTGTCTGATTGAAGTTTTATGAATTCGATAGAGGGAGACACAATATATCTATCTATGTATATATATGTTAGTGTTCAAATCTTACGCGTCCAATTGCTTCTCTTAAAAAAGAATTAGGGAATGTAATAAGATGCCATTGCTGTCCCAGACATCTCTCTATTCTAGTAGTTAAGAGCAGGTTCGTGAAATTTACAGTGGAGACTAGTTGTCGAAATTTCTTGGTTTTTGAAATGAGTTTGCTGTTTTGAAAGACCATAAAAAGTTAGCTAGAAATCGAAATTTTGACAACTTTTCAACAATGTCTTCTAATACTTCGACCACATAATAGTTTTCATTCAAAACATAAGTCTGTCAAAAACTATGTCTTTTTGATTATTTTTATTGATGAAGTTTTTTCTCGCAAAAATTTCATCAAAATCATTGTCAAACTATACTAATCGATAGAGTGGAAGCTGCTCTACAAAATCCTATATTTCATATAGGTCGTTACTTTATCTCATAAATCGGAAAAATCCATTATAATAGATGAAATTGACCATTTTGTGGTGTATTTTACATGCTTTGTTTTATCCTTTTTGCTTCTGCTATGCAGCTAATTTTTAAGAATCTAAGGTAAATTTGATAAAGTTTTGTAGAGTGTTAAAAGATGCATCTTCTAGTAAAAAAATGTTGATTATGAAGTACTAGTAAGATTCAAAAAAGTCCATGACAATGTTGCTTAGAATACATCATTTTCAATATTTTCATGAAAATATACGTATCGTTTTTTATTAAAAGATCGCTTGTTCTCGAGAAAGTCTAACGAGGGAACATATCCAACTGTCAGACACCGTTCGAGTCCATATTTTGATTTTCAAATCAAGCAAAAAATATAAAAATAAACAGATTCTTCTATTTAATTTGGTTTTTTATAAAACAAAAGGTAAAAAGTTATTCTTACAAGAAGTGAAAAAAGGCATTCTCTGACTAAATAGATAGTTAACGGGCAAATCTATTAAGATAAGAATTTAAAATTACAGTGCAGGCCAATTGAATTTTCCCCTTCTATTTTTAAACATACTATATATAGGAAGAAAGTACGGGATGAGCTGCATTTTATGATATATTCGGCTTGAACAACAAATCAAGTTTGAAAGATAAAAGATTAATTGGAAAACAAAAATAGTGTTGCTTTTTTCTACAATCTATATCACGATCTAGATTATAATAAAAAAATCGTTAGGGTCTGTTGTAATATTCATCAATTCCATATGTAATACCACGTTTGCGGTAATAGTCAAGGTATGTCTGTTGCAACTAATAGATATGGCTTTCGAATTTATTATTTAAATGAATGCCAAAGTAGATTATCCAATGGTGATAAATACTTGGCAGATGATTTTGACCTACAAAAGAATTTTCACAACTGATTTACATTTCCCAGCTCGTAAAGCTTGTATTATATTTGTTTGATTATGAGCCTGACTCTTGTCACAAATCAAAGAGGTATTGTCGATACACTTTTGTGGGTTTATTTTTCGATCAATTGTAATGTTTATGTGTATATATAGATATATAACAATCACCTAGGTATTGATAGATAATCGAACAAGAAAGAGAAAAAAAGAACAAAATATAGCGTCGACATTCTCACGTGCAAATCAACATAATACATAATTCAATATGATTCGATTGCCAACAGCGTAGCTTCAAAATGTGTTTCATCAGCAAAAAATTCTTGTCCTTTATCTATTAATTTGAATGTATTTATAGGTAGGATGTTACATAAGAATAAGCTCTGGACTATCAGAACTCATCGAATCTGTGTGTGTTGATATTAAAGCAATTAGAAAAGAAAATTCATTTAACTCACGCTATACATCGTAGAAAAAAAACAACACTATTTTTATTTTCCAATTAATCTTTTATCTTTCAAACTGAATATATCATAAGATGCAGCTCATTTCGTACTTTCTTCCTATGTATAGTATGTTTAAGAATAAAGGAATTAAACCAACAAAAACAAATGGGAAAAATTCAATTGACTCTCACTGTAATATGAGTGATATGAGAGAACAAGCATCTGGTAAGTTTTTTTTTTTGGTGCGATAGTTCGATTGATATGTGTGTTGCATTCGTATGTCTTATTCTTTCTACTCAAAAGATGTTCGTTGATAAAAGAAAGAATGAAATCGATAATAGAGAATAATGATTTATAGATCATTTGTATACATTGATAGAAGTTATTCTTCATATTCTAAAAAATCTTTGTAGATTTTAGATCATAATTATATTTAAACAATAGATTAATATATTATAATGTCACTACCGGTCGTTTCTCCATTACCATCGAATACGAACGATGAAGTAGCAGAATTAGCTGTTTTTTTTAATGAAACATTAGGCTTTTGTCCAAATAGTGTACTGACTATGCAACGTCGTCCAGCCATTGCTACTGCTTTTATTCAATTAAACAAAGCAGTGATGACTAATCATGGTCGTGTAACTAGTGCTTTAAAACGTCTTATTGGTTATGTTGCTAGTTCGAAAGCAGGTTGTCAATATTGTCAAGCACATACTATCCTAGCAGCTGAACGTTATGGTGCTAATTCAGAACAATTGGCACATATCTGCGAGTATTCTACTCATTCTGCTTTCAATGCTGCCGAACGGGCAGCTCTTGATTTTGCTGTAGCTGCATCAACAGTACCCAATGCGGTAAACAGTTCCATTATTGAAAATCTACGTCAGCATTGGGATGATGGTGAAATTGTCGAAATTTTAGGTGTAATCAGTTTATTTGGATATCTCAATCGATGGAATGATTCAATGGGTACTAATATGGAACCTGGAGCTATAAATGCAGGTGAGAAACATCTAAAAACACATGGATGGTCACCTGGAAAACATGCACAAACAAAACATTCATCTTAAAATCGTCTTAAACATTTAATTAATTATTCGGAACATTTATTAATAATTATTTATTGACATTTTAGTTCTCGAGCTTATCTTCAATATAATTTACATATTAATAGTTTTTTTTTCTCATTTTTTTATTTAAACGATCAATTTCGAATTGATTATATAAACAACAAATATCAATATTGAAAATTGTTTTGCTTAAAAGGAAGATTGTGTAGTTCATATGACTGATTAACAATAAACAAAGAACATGAACGAGGATATTTAAAATATATGTAGGACTGCATCTTTTCATAATTTGAGAGTCTCTTTCAAAATCTATTTGAATTAATTAAATTTACTCTTAAGACATAATTGCAATATTTGTTGTTCTTTTCTATTTTTAATTGAAAGAAAATGTTACAAGAAAAAAATTGCGTAAAATAATTCATATTTAAACAGAAAATATATCTCAATCATATTTGGCAGTAAGATATCAAACATTTCCAATCTGTCCAGTAAATTAAAGTAATTTCAATTATTTTTTTTCTTTAATTTTCAATAAAAATTTAGTACAAACATAGTTTTAGATAATTTACTCAGCGTAATATTATAGTACTAATAGCGCATCCCTAGTCGAGACTCTCTAGAAGAATTCTGGGAGAATCTCTGTCGTGAGTCCCTGGGAGAGTTAAGAGAGGATTCAGAGTCTCTCCAGAAGTCGCCATTGGAGTTCTCTGAAAAATGCAAGTTTATGAAAATTTTAGAGGGACTCCCCGAGAAGTTTTAGGAGAATCCTGAGATATGTAACTTCCACGGGGACTCCCCGGTGATTTCGTTGGGGAGAGTCGACTAGGGCATATGTTTTTTTTTTCAATTAACAATAAATTGATTACAACATTTGACTGAGTTATTTCAGACGGACATAGTATGGATTCCACAGGTCTATATTGTAGTCAATAATACATACATCTCAAACACATTATAATACAATGAATACTTCCACATGCTTATTTCAACAGTACGAACTCTGGAGATATATAAATATGAAGTGTGGTATCCATTTCGTCATACCTAATTCACTCAAAATAGTTAATTTAGGGATATATAGGTTATGCGAATTCAATAGGTTAGTATCCTAATAGCAACTTATGGATATTATGATATCTCTCATATCACCAACTAATGCGCAGAAACATTTATTCATACAGTTAAGATCATAGGCGTAAATCAAACATTAGAACCATTCTATTCTCAGTTTCTAACTAGAGAAAAAGCTAAAATTACAATATTTTCTGTCATATTTATAGTTATATCACGTAAAACATTATTTGAGATGTAAATTATCATATTATTTGTTAGTCATGATTTTGACAGTGTTTACTGATAAATAAATGTAAATATCTATGAACATGATGAATTAACATCAGTTTATCACGATTTATCTATATCTAACTATTGTTTTATTTTAATTCACATTTCATGTTTAATACTACATCGTGTTTTAAAATCTTTCTATAGTTTAGAGTGGTATGATATTTTGATTTGTCTGCTATTATTATTTCCAAAAATGCGAAACACAAAGAACTCTATGGTAGACTCATAATGCTGATTAGGTATTTTTCAGTCTTTTATCGATTTTCTATAATTATAAGCAGATTTCCATGAGATCTTGATCACATTCTACAAAAGTAATGTCCAAATTTCATGAAGTCATCAACATCGTTACACCTTTTTGTTCTAAATGTTTTTATAAAGAATTCTTCTCAAAACACTTTTGTTTTAACAGACACAAAATCACAATACTTTTAAGTAGTAAAGAAATACTATCCCTTACTAAAACAAGCTCAACAACAAAATCTCAATCTCATATCCGTAGCTCACGAAATGTGACACAATTGCTGGTAGGAATGTGAGTGTGACTCTCGCCGTTGTGTGCACTCCCACCACTAGCACCGCCACTGCCCATATCACAAACCCACACTCTTACATCCAACAATACCCACTAATCATTTTTTCTATGTAAACTTTAGGTTGTCAAAAAACTTATATCGTCACTGAAAAAGTATCTAACTGGAAACGTTCGTTCGCTAGAAAAAATTACCAACTAAAAGTCAATAAACCTTAGACATTTCATTCAAATTGATATTAGCCGTTTGTCAAAGCTATAGATTTCTCTTCTCTATGATTTTATGAGATATAAGTAAAAAAACTACTTAACTAAGCTGATTGAGTATTGCAATTGTATTAAAACTGCTAAGACTTCTGTATCTTCAAGATTGTAGAGCAAGTTATACACTCTCGAATATCTTATGTCATCATATAGAGCAATTTCGCTTAACAGAAAAGTCACAAACTCATGATAGTTCTGTTTTATTAAGTGATCATTGATTAGTCATGACATATACGAGAATAGAAACATTTCTCAAACTGAATATCAAGTTTAGCATTTTTAGCTTCAATCATTCATGAAGAATTCGATCTTTGTGTAGTGAAGAAAACTCAGATAGAAAAATTCAAAATTGTCCAAACAAACCAATTTTTGAGAATTCTCGACTTTTTATTGTCTAATATATTTTAAGTATATTTTCATGAAAACAAAATTTTTTTTTTACTATAACTATTATATTAAAATGTTTAGAATTAAAGACTCGAAAAAACTTCATCGAAGTCAAAAATCACTTTTCGACAATATGATTAAAATTTATTGGAAATACCAAAGTATAGTTATAGTAATAATCTTTTGATTGAAAATCAAAAAAAGAATAGTCTTGACTTGCTATTTTCTTTGATGAATGTTAAAGTTAAGAGGAATCTATATTTAGACAATAAGTATGTTTCGAAAATGAATTAAATTTTGCACGAGATAAAAAAGATAAATTCAAATTATGACGAATGTTTTCTATTGTTAGATATTCTTTGAGTCTCAAATTTTCTTCTCTCCCAAACCTATTGAGAGAGCTCGTGCTGAAAAATAAAGCTATCTGGTAACTTATATCTTTTCAGAAAAAATTAAAAATAGTTTCGTCGCATGAAATAAAACCACAATTGAATAACATACATTGTTTGCCTTGCTGTTTGAAATATGTGGCTCATTCATGGCTTCATATGCTGGCTCATTGTCTTTGAAGCTATCAACACAAGCTTAGGTAATGATATAAATTTCGTGATTTATACTACTCTGTGAATATTGATTTACATAATCAAAAAGACTATCATGTCATGTATGATAGATATTTTGATATACAGTTGTTTTAGTCCTATCAACGATTTCAGAGAAGAGTTTGTGCGCTAACAAGCATATTTGCAAATAAAATTGTCGAACCATGTGTACTATCACCCCCAGCGAATACTATACTGCCGAGTGCAGGTGCTAATACAAAAGTAATGTTTCATAAAAGTTAAAACATAATGAGATACTTTCACAAATGGTTGATGTTTATTATTAGAAATATTTGACAAAGAGAATAGAGTTATAAAGTTGTATGCTCTCTAGAAATTTCAATGAATCTTTCAAAAATGAACGAAAAGTATATTTCTTTTCTAAATTTATATTTTCAAAAAGCAACTCCTCAAAAAATATCTTCTGTTATGTATTGTATTTTATGGATTCGTTTTGTTTCCTAGCTTCAAGTGTCAATAAACCAAAACTTAGTGAATCCGCATCGTGGAGCTCGAATCCAATCATAATTGCAAACAGTACTACTACAGATATGAGTCCTTTTAGCTTATTCATTGGCATTAATGACACTCTTTATGTGGCTGATCGAACCATGAAAACTATTCATATATATCCTGAAAAAAGTGGAGACTCAACAAAAACTATTGTCAGTAATTTTACTTTTTCAACTGGTTTCTTTGTTACAATTACTGGTGATATATATATCGATAATGGAAATAATAGTCATATTAGCAAATGGTCCTTCGATACAATCTCTAATAACATTATCATGTATATGAATAGAGAATGTATTAGTCTTTTT